CGGAGACGCTCTTTACGCCCAGCCCCCATCGCAAATCATGTCACTCCCCCTCCCCCCCCCCCTTCTCCGTCGCAAAGCAAGTTAGCCCCGCCCCCTCCGTGAGAAGGCTGGCTGAGCCCCTGGCTTCCAATATTTTACACACGTGAAACATTGGAAAAGTTCGCATGGAAAAGTTTGTACACACAATGTGCCAACACAAATGTTCGAAGGGCATTGATCGCATAGCAGCGTGTTCGTATGGATTAGTACTTATACGGAGAGTGTTTCAGGGTAGATCGATCACCCGGGTATCAAATGGCACACCATGAACTCTCAAAGTTCGCTGACATGATCTCTGCGAACTGATCTCGGACATGACATCGACCGTATAATTTCTAGCTCTATCCTGCGTACAGTTTGCAAGTAAAAGCCTCGGGCAATGATGGGTCGGTCGCAAACGGGTGCGCGCGGGTGCCAGCGGGCGCAGTGCGGGAGCAGCGGGTGCACCTTTCCCCTGGACTTTAAGCAAGTAATCCGGGTGTCGTCGGAGCTTTTGCCCCCCGTATTCCACAACCGAGCGACTCCCGCCGCAGCCGTCAGCTGGCGTCAGTGGCGCGCTCAGCTGGCGTCGGTGGCGCGCTCAGCTGGTGTCAGTGGCTGGCGTCCGTGGCGTGCTCAGCTGGCGTCAGTGGCGCACTCCGTGCTCTGCGGTGAAGAGTTTTAATTTTTGATCCTACGGTCTCAACCATCCCAGGGCCATTTTCAACTGTTCTCATTGGTACGAGTTCATCTGCTGGCCGCCGTTGGGCATGCTAGTGCCATAGAGAGTAAGGTTAGCCATGAAATCTGAATCGACCGATGCCATTATCACTGTCTATAAAACACGAGTGCATTTAATATTTTGTGTGCGCACTTTATCAAGCAAGCTTTAATTTACAGAAACTTAAATCCTGAGAAATGTACGAACTTTTCGTACTTACATGATACACCAGCTTATGAACTTTTGGGAAGGTACTTTTGTCAAATGAACTTGGCGAACATTGGCATAATCATTTTGCGTACTTCATCCTACGGTGACATACCAGCATTTGCGTACGTGCTTTTTGTAATACGGACCTCATCTCTGACGATTATCTGCGCACGAACATTTGCAACGATCTTTTTCCGTACGAACTTGTGCGAGCACAAACACTTATGTCGCAAATCTTTCCTCAACGAACAAGTTACCACGCGAACCTTATCGTCTACGATTTTTTACATTACGAACTTTAGACACTTCCAACTTTATGCTCCTAACACTCTACCCGGACGACCTTAATACACGGGTTTAATTCTACGAGTAGCTGCATGCAGGATTTGCGCATGCGCATTTTCGTCTGCAGCCCTATGTATGTGAAGTGTGTGAGAATAAATGCGGCGCGGGCCACCGTGCGCATCAATACTATTCGCGCCATATCAGCGGTACAGTTCGCATATGCCAGTCGACGCAGCACTGACCTTTTGAAAAGCCGGGCATTACGCAAACACATTTACCCGCCACATGTTCGCCAAACAGCCGACCTGTCTGGGCTATCTCATCATTGTGTTCTTCCGCATGCATTTCAGATATCTTATCATAAACATCAGACCGGAACCAGCGGTAAGCCGTCTCTGTGCCCGATGCGTCAAACCCCGGCCTGCTTTGTCATTTTTTTTTTCTTTCTGCGTGGAACACAGATTTCGAAAAGTTATCATCTATTCTCAATTCAAAAAAGGCATGAACCTCATCGCCATTTGAATGATAAATCTCGCATCAACACATAAGGCGTAAAAGTGTCTTCTAGGGCCAAAGCGCCTCAATCAAAATAACCTAAGCCGAACTAACCTGTTACGCCGGTGCTGCACACGCGAACTGAAAGCATTGAGAGCGCCGTATGTTTCGGGGCACACTGGTGTCGGTGCCCATCTAGCTTCGATACTTCATGAATTCAATAACACCCATTGAGTGTGGAGGACAATCCTTCAATGACTGCTGTAGATGCGTCGCCAGATCTATCAGGCGCCCTAACCTGCACCAGCGACTATGCGGGCTGCTGGTTTACGACGAATATGGCCAAAAAACTGAAGAACCTGAATACATACATATATATATATATATATATATATATATATATATATATATATATATATATATATATATATCCTTGTAGAATAACAAGGAGAATGAAGAGATATGTGTATTGATATTTCGGTCACAATGCCTTCATCGAAATGAATTTCAGTAGTCTATAATGTACTACTGAATGTCCACTAAGTAGGAATAGGCTAAGAAGACGTATGATAAATGTTTCGATAAAGCCATGCAGACGAAATGTCAATGCATTTCTCTCTCCATTTTCCTGACTATTCTAGTGAGGAACGAGGCTGTTAGTACTGTCTTATCTAGACGCATAATGCTCCTCGCAAATGCGCTCAACAGCTTACGCTGTAAGGTCTCGCAAAATTGCGGGCCCGTGACCAATATGGGAGGCGCCTGAGCGGCAAAGTGGGAAACCATTTATGCTTTGCTCGATCGTAGCATGCCGATAGACGACGCACACAACAGGACCCCTTGTTCCAATTTGATGAGGTTGAAGTGCTGCTTCATTTTATCAGGGATTCTTTACCGTTGAACGCAAAACAAGATTAGGGTACGTTTTGGTACGCTTAATGCTTTGAGGCGTACCTTAAACGCAGGCCTGTTTTCCAGATGGCACAGGCGTGATCACGGTGGTGCCCGTCTCAGAACCGCTCCAGTGTTATTCCTTCGAATCAACCCGAAATAAATGAGGAACAGCAGGAAGTTCTTTTTATTTAACAAAATGTCTTAAAACAACTTAACAAATAATATTTCCAAAGGCGTAATACGAATACGGCAACCACAAAGTAGACACAAGGACTCCTCTTCCGTGAATGTACAGACCGCTCGCAATCCAGTCTGTGAGCTCCGACACGCACCGCGTTCGTGCGGGAATGCATGATATTTATCGATCTAAGTCATTATCACCGGATCCACGACATAATACGAAGAAGCGAAAATTTCGAAAGAAACCCGGCCTTCTGTACAGAAGTTTCTAAACGTTCCTCAAAGTTCAAAACATCAGGACAATTTAGCACGGCGGTAAGATCTGGGCCGCATCGTATGATGATTCCTTTCTGTGTCGGCTAACAGCACGAAACACAACAACAATCGAATCCACGGACAATAAATGCAAAACACGGTAGCGTTTACGCATCACACAACGTACGCGCAGGCCGTATGCAACACCATACACTCAAGACTGACCAGCGCGCAGTACAGCATATGCAGCCGACATAGCCCAGCGACGGGAATAACTGTCACGGACAGCGCACACGTGGCAGCTGCCACCCGCCACTACAGCCCGCGCCGCGGAGGCGGCGGCGGAGGCGTGTCCCTCCGAGCCCGCTGGCTCTGCCGCGACCCGACGGCGGCCGAGCGGGCGTCCCCGGCAGCGCGCCTCGCCTGACCGGCCGGCGGCAGCGGGCAGCGGGCAGGAGCAGGAGCAGGAGCAGGGCGGGCAGGGGCCGCTCTCCGGCGGCGCCCGACGCGTCCGGTCGGCTTCGCCACCGCCGCGCGCGGGCGGCGCGCCATTGCGGTGCAGCCGGCGGCGGCCCGGCGACCGGCTACACGGCCCACAGTGCGTTGTTGAGCCATAGCCAGTCGATGAACACGTCGGCGAAGCGCTCCTCCTCCGGCCCGTCCGAGTCAGAGTCATCGCTCGACGACGGGTCGTCGTGCATGACGGCCGGGTAGTCGGGCGCCGGACTGCCCTGGCAGAGCTTGACCCGGTCGTCGTCCGGCTCGGCCAGATACAGCTGCTCCAGGTCGGTGCCGCCGACGATAAGCGACAGGCGGCGCCCGGCCGGCAGCTTCGACACCAGCGAGTCGTACAGCTGACGCGAGATGCACTGCACGCAGCTGACGTCCAGCGAAGCCAGCGACCGACATGTCATCGACAGACTGCAACGGAGCGTCACACGTCACTGACGGACCGCAACGGAGCGTCACGCACGTCACCGACGGATTGCAACGGAGCGTCACATCCGTCACCCGCGGACTGAAATGGAGCGCCGCACGCCACCAACGGACTGCAACGGAGCATCACACCCGTCACCGACGGACCGCAAAGGAACGTCACACGTCACCGGCAGACTACAACGGAGCGCCACACACGTCACCGACGGACTGCAACGGAGCATCACACCCGTCACCGACGGACTGCAACGGAGCATCACACCCGTCACCGACGGACTGCAACGGAGCATCACACCCGTCACCGACGGACTGCAAAGGAACGTCACACACAGACTACAACGGACGGTGGCACACGTCACCAATGGACAACGGACAGGCCATAGCAGGCGAAACAACTGTTACTGTCACGACTGAAGCACAGGGTCACACGGTCCATAGACCGACCGTTGAAATCTCCCCGTTGCGTCACTTTGCACACGGCACAGGCAAGGCACTCTTTCTACCAGGGAGTCGAGGAGCAGCAGATGCTGCGAACAGCTGCACTTTGTCGGCCGACTACCCGATGTTCCGACTGCCGCACCACCACCGTGCCGGGCAGGGGAGCGGCCGGCCCCCGCGGCCCCGCACGCCTGCCGCGGCCGCCGGCACCACTCACTCGAACAGGCCCTTCTCGGTGAAGGGGGAGCGGGCGCTGTAGTTCTCCCGCAGCAGCAGCGTGGCGAGCCGGGCGCAGTTGGCCAGGCTGCGCAGCACCTCGTCCGTCACCTCGTTCTGGTAGCTGACATCCAGCCAGGAGAGCAGCGGCAGCCGACAGAGCAGCTGCAGGCCGGCCGCCGGCACGTACTTGTGCGAGGCACCGCCTGGCGGGCAGACGGGGCGGACCGGTCAGTCAGCGGCGGGCAGTCAGAGTCGGGCCGGGGTCACCGGCAGGCGGCCGCCGGGCTGGGGCAGGACGCGACACGTCGCGGCCGCGGCAGACTTCACAACAGCGAGCTGTATAATATCAACACGACCGCATCCGCCGAGTGCCCACTGGCGCATGCGCCCCTGGCACGCGGCTGGCGGGCAGTTGGGGCCGCGCAGTGCCGAGCGGCCCCTGCCACCGGCTGCCGCCCCCCCCCCCCCCCCCTTCCCCGCCCGGCGGCGGCGCACCTCGCAAGTCCAGCCGCTCCAGCTTGGTGCAGTAGCTGACCAGCGCGCGAAACGTGTTCTTGTTGATGTTTGGGCAGGCGCCGGCAGCCAGTGACGTCACATTGGGCATCAGCTCGAGGAACTCCTCCGGCTGCACCAGGTTGCAGCCGCTGATGTCCAGGTGGCGCAGGTTCCGACACCTGGGCCAGGTCAGCTGAAGGTCAGAGGTGATACGGCCGCCAGCCCTCCGCTGTCCAAGACACGTCTGCGCCCAACACCGACCCGCAGGTCTGCCCTGCGACGACACAGTGCGCCCACATCCCGCCCGTCCCCACGCCGGGTAGGTGGCGACAGCCTGGCTGTGCGTCGACATCGCATCATCAAAAGGTGCCACGGAGACAGCGCTGTCTTTCCCAAAGCCGCAAAGGAGATCGCAACCGGCGGACAATTCAATCTATGCCCGAATGGGAGACCACCACTAAAATGCTGAAAACAGAAACTCAACACAAGATGTGTCCTTTTCCACCCAACATCTCGAGCTCTGACACAACGCAGCCCGGTCCGCACCAGCCACTCCCCTCGAACCCCACCCGTCGCCACGCGCGCGGCGGCGAGCGCGGCCCCGCACCTGGCGGCGATGTGTTTGATGTCGTGTGACGTCACACGCGTCTGGCTGAGGCAGAGCTCCTCCAGCTGTGCGCACCGGTCGCCCACCAGGCAGAAGTTGTGCTCGCGGATGCGCGGGCACGCGCGCAGTGTCACCTTGCGCACCGACGCCGGCAGCAGGCTGAAGCAGTCTCCCGTCACACTGGTGGACACCAGCTCCAGGATGCGCAGCTCTGTCAGGTACCTGGACGGGGCCGCCAGCGGCGGGGTCACGGAGGGCAGCTCGGGGCAGCTCGCGGTGGCCGACGTCCGGGGAGGGTTGCCCGTGTCGAGGGGAGCAAGAGTGTCCGGGTCATGTTCGGCGTGTGGGTGACACGGCTAAAGACGTGCTGTTTATTCCCTGGGCATGATCGCTCCGTGAACTATGGCTACAACGCCGACACAGTGACGGAAACAGCTGCGATCGTGAAGCCGTATGACGAAACATACACCCACACACACCTTGCTCATTACCAGGTGACGTCGGCCGGAGAGATAACAGGCCGAAACCTGGTGTAAATACCAACACCCTACACATGGGCGACCGTCCCATCATTACGCAATCCATGATACCAGTACTTCGTCTCAAACATTCCGTAAAACGAAGAGTCGAAGTTAAAGTCACCTCTACGAACCAATGCTCCCCTGCTATTGGTAACTGCCCTCCACCGGACGCCCTCTGTCAGGCCGGCCGACATCGCGCACTCACTTGAGCAGCACCTCCAGGTTCTGCTCCTTGAAGTTGAGCTGCGGTACATTGATCCGCTGCAGCCGGGGACAGTTGCGGCACAGGTTCTCCAGAGCTCGGAACGACATCCGCAGGCAGCTGATGTCCAGGTCAATCAGCTGCGGACACAGCTTGCCTGCCGACACATGCGACAGACGCGAGGACATCAGTGACTAGAACAGCAGCGACCAAGTGCAAGGGGTACCTCAACATCGGATGGGCGCAGCTCGCACTTATGCCTTATGTGATACAGCTCATGCGACGTCCTACGTGATATCGCCACACTTCGTACTCGACTTACGGCGCTAGACGGCGCCAATGTCTGTGAAGCGGCTCAGCAGGACGTGACGGGCGTCCCGGTAGCGCACGTGATTCAAGTTGAAAATCAGAGCACCTCCGCTGCTTCAGACTGCTTTGAAATGACCTCAACGGTTACTACGTGATATCGCCGCTTATGTCTTGCGGCTTGAGAGCAAGGAAAGCCACGAATGTTTGCCCCTCCAGTGACATCACTGACGTTTAGCGATGTCATCAAATAAAGTAACATATGGCTGCAGAAAAACTTCTATGGAAGCAAACAAAAGTTATAAAAACAATTTCCACGAACTCATTCTACAGTTCACATAACCTGCAGACCGCAACTTTCGATTTTTCTGAATGCCTCCTTGACGTCATATGTACAGATGATTTTTACACACAGGGCTGCATACAGATATAAATATTGCAAAAACCAAACAAAAACGACCGAACAAAAGCCATCGTGAAAAATCCGTTAAAAATGGTGACAATCACGGTACGGGAAACGGTACTGTGCAAGTCCCCTGCAGTTGTGGTCGCAAATTGCGTCTTCTTCGGATAGATAAACAAACCTACGCCAGCACTTTTTCCAGTCTTGGCAACTGTTGCGCATTTGATCGCCAGTAACTGTTGGCTGTACTGACAAGTGAGTGAACCTATGGCAATGAAGGACTCATGAGGACTCAATGAGGCAATGAAGGACTCACACTTTCTCATGCATCACTGCATTAATCACGGATATTGATTGCGATTTGTGAGGTATGATTTTGTGTAACCCAAGAAAGGTTGAGTGCAACACACTCTCACAACAATAGCCGAATGCAGTGTGTTTATTGAAAGGACTGTTCTAATTGACGCTCAATGAAATCCGGCTAAGGTTTTCAAAATTTTAATTGTTATTGTAGTATTTTTCTGTGAAATGTTTGCTTAAAGCTGTTCAATTTGTGCATCCTGGTTAACTGGTGTGCCATGTATGCCATGGGATTTCTGTCACCGTCGTCACTCCTGTTAAAAAATTAGAAACGTTTGTTTCATGATTGATTTGTGTCTGGCAGCACAATCTGGTTTTGTCATGATTTTAAGGCGTAACGAATAACAAAAATATATTCTTCTGCCGTTTTGGCATGATTTTAAAGCTCAGTGAATAACAAAAAATACATTCGTTTGCCCGCTACAAGGTTTGGCCCGCAAATGCTTGCCAAGTCTAGCCCACGGCCCAGCTAAAAGCCCGCAGGCACTTGCGGGTCAGAAATTGGCGGGTTGGCGGGCTGAAAATTTGCATCTCTAGTCCGTCACCAGCGCAGGTCTGTACAGCCCATCTGCCCTCATCGTCACGCTTTTGTTGAACAAAGGAAATTCCAAACCAAGAAAAGTTGTGCGTCAGCAATTGGTGCAAACAGCACTAAGCACTGAGGTCGGTGACACAGGTGACACCGGTTGGCCAATTGTCGGTTGCCCAATTGTAAACTGACACCAATCGACAGGGTACAGTCGCCCATAGCAAGCGTCTCCGCCAGATTCCCTGATACCGCGAATTCCGTCCCTCCGTTGCAAACGGACTGCCGCGGTAGCCACGTCGCTCAACGAGCGTCCATGCATGAAATCCGGCGGCCGCCTGCCGAGCCTGCCGCGGACGTCGGGCGCGGGCCGGCGCGCACTGACCGATGCTGAGGATGCCGTTGCGGGAGAGCCGTGCGCCGGCCGGCCCCAGCTCCAGCTTTTGCAGGTTCGGCAGCAGCTGCAGCACATGCTTGAACCGCTGGTCGGTCAGCACCGGGTGCCGCTGCAGGTGCATCGGGCCGAAGTACCGGTTCAGGTTGATCTGACGCACTGAGCGAAGGCTGAGCTGGCACAGCTCCCTCCAGCGGCGGCACACTGTCAGGCACAGGCACAGCGCTCTACAGACGCCGTATACTGCGGAGAGCGACCTGACACACGCGCACGCAGCTCAGTCTAGCGGTCACGCTGTCAGCAGACGCTTGTCATGAACAGTCCGCTCCAGCGGCGGCACACTCTCCGACAGGCGCCTGCTACAAGCAGCTCGGTGAGCAGTCGTACACTGCAAGCGGTCACCTATCCGGCACCGCCGCTACCAGCGGCACCGCCATCGGCCATCACCTGGCACCAGTCGGTCAGCTCAGCGTCACACCACCAGCAGTCACCAGTCGGCATGACTCCCCAGTGGAGCGCCCGGCGTCCTCGCCTCCCCCACGCAGCCGCCCGTCCCGTACCGGCGCGCACGCGGATCCTGTCGCGCACGTTCAGGTGCGCCAGCAGGTAGAGCAGCACCTCCTCGGGCAGGCCGTTGATGTGCGGTGCCGCCGGCGGCCGGGGCTCGGCGGCCGGCGGCGCGCGCCGCCGCTCGCTGCGCCGCCGGCCGCCGCTGGCCGGCCGGCGGCGCTTGGCCGGCGCCGCGCTGGCCCATCCGGCCGCCGACGGCGGCGTCGCATGCTGCGTGCGCTTCCGCAGCCGCTGCGACCAGCTGTCGGCGTCCATGGAGGCGACGCGGCCGGCACTGCGGGCGGCGGGTTACGGACGGGCAGCGTGAAGGTGCGGTGGTCCGCTGGTCAGGGCCGTGGACCGTGACCACGGACGGCACGACGGCACGGCACTGCTGAAGACGGCACGGCACGGAGAGCGCGGGCTGAAGACGGCACGGCACGGAGAGCGCGCCATTACTCGACCACCGACCACGCGAGATGATTAACTATCTAGCTTCCAAGACTGTGAATACATATGAGTGCTGAATTGCTTGCTAGGCAGTGCAAACTGCCATTGGTCTGATATGTGTGTTAAAAGTTGTCCTGGCTTGAGTAACTATTTGAGCAAATAACATTTATGTTGACTACAAGCAAGGCCAACAGTCAAGTGTGTTATCCCATAACTGGCACTTTTAAGCTTTAACAGCCTTCATAGTTGTCACTTGTCATATCAGTAAGCACTGTTCAGTAAAAGGAGTTTAAGTATTGAACTGCAATAATGCCATATTTGCATGCATGCTATGGCAGCAGTAGGCATTTTCCTGCAACACTGCAGGATGCCAGAACTTCCCTCCCCCATCCTATCCAGATGGGAACAGGTCTAGGCATAAGCAAACCTGTAGGCCAGGCTGTGCAGCTGGTCATGTCCACCTTGGTGCCACCCTGGGATCCACACCTTTCAATGCAGTTAGGGATTCACAATCTTTGAACATTTAAATGATTGCTGTCTGACAAGCAAATGCAAATGGGTTTGATAAAGATCTGACACTAACTGCCTGATGAGGTGGAACATAATGCCTCAAAATCAATGGGCAATCTTATCACTGGGAAACTCAAAGGTGTGTCAGTGGCTGCCCAGGAAGTGATCACTGCTGCTTTTCAATCAGCTCTTGAATGCCCACATGGGATGTGGCTTAACTCAGGGCTGGGCAATGGAAATGGCACAGGCATGATATCCAGCTCCATGCTGTCAATATTCACCCAAAATATAAATGTTATGTTGTGACTTCTTTGACTATGCTAAAAGAAAATGTGCACTTATTCAAACCCATCAAAGCCTTATCCAGAACATGTTTGAACTTGTCTGCTGCCAGGTCATCACCAAGTCATGTTTGTTGTGAATAGGTGCCCAACTGTACCTTGGCAAACATTTCTTTCTTCTAAAAGAAATGAAAAAAGAAATACCCCAGTACAATGATCAGAGCCATTACCATGAGTTCCCAAAGCTTATTTTCCTCTCAAAACAAATATCATAGGCTAAAACACATTTTGCCCCAAACTACCATTGGTTTGGTTCATGCCTGCATAACTGCTTTTTTAAATACCAGCCATGTCCCTTCCAGTGCACTCCAGTCACCTGATCTCAAAATTATTCATGCAAATGGCATCTAACTATTGGAGAATTCATGCTGATCCTGATTTTCTCATTGAGTTCAGACATGTCCCAGCATTGACATAAATATTTGAATTAGTCCTGCATTTGTTCCATCATGAAAACTGCCATTGATCCAAATGTTGCTGGTTTGTACAATGTCATATGCATAAAATACTTTAAGCATATGAAATATGAAGTTTTTAACATAAATATATAAGTAGGCATGGTAATATAACTATCTAAAGCATCTACCATATCTATAAGAGACAATACACATGGAAAAACTATGATATGCTTCATATGCATCTTTCATACATAAACTAGGTAGCTACCCTTAAGCTGTCTTTCAGAACCAGTTGTGAATTATGAGACATGTTGTTCAGTGGTATTTTGAAAGTATTTATAACTGAGCATCAATTTTTGTTCACATGTGAACAACTCTTAAAATCACTGCTATCTTTAAGCATAGCTGTTCAAGTTTCAGTGTGCCTAGATTGTCAGGTTTCCTCTTGTTACATATTATCATACATTTGAAGATATTGGCCCAGAAATAGCATAATATATGCAAAATATAAAGGGGATTATAAATGCAAAACTTAGTTTCTTTATACACATCTAAATTTTCTTTTGACTGTTTTATAACCAAGCCAGTTTTCACCATGTCTTACACCAGCCTAGTGACCGATCACTACCACCTGGTACTGGTTTTTCATGGTGATGATTTGTTCCATAGCATAAAAAACAGCTTGCACAAGTGGCAATGCCCTAGGTCCCCATGGTTTGAAGGGATTACAATACCATCTCCTGGACTGGAGCTGTTTCTTGTTCTAAGGCAACTCAAATTGTAGGATATGAGCAAGCCTCATCTCTTTAACACAAGGCTCAAGTCACTGATAGGCTCAAGTCCCTTACAGAAGAAAAAGCAAGTCATTATCATAAAGAATATTCAGCAGGCTGCATAGTAAACTTCTGCCTCACCATCTCCTCCAGCTGAGTGGAGTTGAACACAAAAGAGCTAATCTTCAACACCCTTACATGGCATTCATACCTGAGATGACAAAGCAAGACACCATTTGGCGATCGTCATACGACCCACGGCATAATATATATTTTCCTGATTTGTTGAGAGAAATACTGGCGCATTCGTCACGTGCTACGGACGCTTCATCCGGTTCTCCACTCACAGAGCCACCATAGTAATGCTGGAGCTGCTCGATATAGACCAGTAGCCATCAGGGAGAACTGTTGAATCTGAAAAGGCCTTGTTACCGATACATAGGCATATTCTGGCAGCCACAATGGGGACTTACGAACGGCAGTAGGCAATGATCCCCGCGCACTCCTTTGCTCTAGGACGTAAACACAATTTAATGCAAGGTAAGCTCAGAGTGCATTGCGAACTGTTCGCTAAAACGCTGCAAAGAGAAATACTGTTGTATATTCACGGTTGTTATTTATCACCTTGGTTGGTAACTTCTCAATGACCACGGATGGAATAAATACTTGAGCTATCATATTAGTTTCGTGTATAAGTGGACACACAGTATTTCAGCAAGTTAACTCTCCGGTCGTCGTCAGGTGTTACTGAGCGCTGAGAGGGGTTGGATAATGGGCTATTAGCCATCAGGCGTCAAAACCCGAATTCTCTCCTTGGAATTGCTGGGATCTTTTAATTGCAGGTCTTCAGTGTTTTGCAAATTGGTGCTCTACCAAATGAACTACCGGGACAGGACCTGGACGAGCACGGCAGCCCGAACAGCATTTTCATCCGTGATTATTTTATTTCGTCTCAATCCCCCCTAAAACTGTGGCCGCAAGGAAATTTGACAACATCGACGAGGCTTTATGTTGAAGTTCAGCATATTGCATGGGCGTTCATCGAATTATTCATGACATTAACATGTCATATGATGTGATTTTATGGTTCGTCATATGTCATAAGGTGCGCAAACTGGGAAACATTCATTTCCATCCAACTGGTCTTGGTGCTCAAACTTGTGAAATATTGTTGCTCCGGCGAATTAGCAACCAGATTTTTAGTATATTTATATATAGAACAGCATGTCAATGCAAATTTAGAGCTCAAAATAGCTGCGGTGGCTAAATTCGATGTTTTGTGATAGCTAATCTAAAGCATTTATTTCGTTAGAAATTGTAAATGCTAACAAGCCAACATAAAAAATAATAAATATTACGCAAATAATTGGCAGTTACATTCTGGTACATTTATGGCGCATCTACTCCATTTATGATTTCTCCACCCGCCAAGATTTACTGACGTTTTAGGTTTGGGGGATTGGTTGAGTCGGGGGCAGGCATTGTATTTGCTGTGCGGTTTAGTAGTGTAATGCAAACTGGTATTTGCGTGCAAGAGCTGGCGGTGGATGATTAGGGGTTGTTCGACGCGTTGAGTGTGAAACAGAGTGAGTTAATACACGTGGCACGCACCATTTTGTGACTTTGGTGTTCAGTGCATGCTCATTACGGGATGTGTGACATACTTGTTGGTTTCTTATTGTAATGGGATTGAGTCTCACCTTTATCTAGCTTTAAAGCAGCACCCAAGTCACATTCTGAAACCATGGTGTCTGCTCCTCCAGCCACTGTCAGGATGAGAGGTGATGTCAGATAGTCTTGGCATCTGAATGTGGGATTAAACCTCAATGACATAGTCTGGACATTTTACAGCATCTGGATTCATTATTTGGGATGTTTTTCACTGTTCAATCCCAGTTTCAACATACAGGAACATTTATTTTATTGTGAAAGAGGATAAATGGTTATTTGTGTGCAATGTGCCGAATTCATCTTTCTATACACACATTCAAATATATACCTGCCAAAATATTTTGAATAATCAAATGAAAATATATTTCTAAGAATAAATGGTGAATAGGAAACAATTCATGAAAAGCCCTGTAGCATAACAGCAATACTTTTGGTACAAAAGGAACTATGTCTGATCAATAGAGCATACCTATGGTAACAGGCACTGAGGTGAAGGGTGTGGGATGGGTTTGCAAAAAGTCTAACAGCAAAAAATAAATGCTGTCAGTGCTGCTCATGATATCCTAGCCCACAGATTACACTACTTTTGGTTTGTGCAGTACCTCAGTGACAAGATGCAGACTGGATCAAAAGTGAGCCAGAAATGATGCAAAAGGTTTACTTATAAAGTGACCAGTTTTCATGCCAAGGAGCAATGGTGGGTGAGGTAAATGTGTCCGTTATGTTTCAAACAGAGTAATTTTCAGTTTCTATCATTGGGGTAGACATCATATGTGTGGACATAAATCCTGGTGTCTCACATGCAGTTATCATGAGAGTTACTTATGAACAGAAGGTATGGTGTTCTGCTAACACATCCAGCTAGGATTCTTTGTGACATCACATACATTGGTTATGATCATGGCACTTGCATTCAAGATTGTTTGGGACAGCTGTGATTGCATGTTTAAAATGACATGAACAATTTTCACTTAAATTATAACCATGAATAAAGTAAGTTGAGAAGATATATAATAAAGACAGCTGTGATTGCATGTTTAAAGTGACATGAACAATTTTCACTTAAATTATAACCATGAATAAAGTAAGTTGAGAAGACATATGGCATGACAAGTTGTTGACAATTTCACTAGAGCTATGTGAGGCATGGAGCAGTATCAGTGCACACTGAGCATCATGGGTGTGTTTGCAAATGCACATTAATGTCTATGATTTTGCAGTGTTCTGTTTAAGTTGTATGAAAGGAAAGCTTTTCTTGCAAAGGTAGAGATCTTCCATGTCTCTCACTGATGGCTGTGTTCATACCCCTTGACCTTTCCATTATCAAAATTCCCCTTCTGTTATAAAAAAAATCAATAAAGACATGTTGTGGGTCAGTCCAGAAAGCTCCAAAATCAAGAATAAAGAGCAGCAACTCACTTGGTTGCAACAGGTATCAACACGTGATACTATGTATGTTATATCAACACACAATGTATGTTTTGACCACATTGCCACCCTCAGATCAGCGCGCGCCACACTGCCGTACCTGTGACGTCGTGGGATCGCGCGACGCCGCCTGCCGCCGAGCGGAAGACGATGGCGGCCGCGGCCACGGCGGCCGAGCGGCCGGACGGCCTGCGCGACGAGCTGCGCCGCTTCCTGAAGGCAGCCACCAACGAGACGCGCCTCAGCCAGCCGGAGCTGACGCACATCGCGCTCCGGCTGCTGAAGAGCCTGCCGGCCGCGCGCGACGCCGGCCTTGAGTACCTCAGCTCGGTGCTGGACGGCTGCACGGCTCAGTTCGTCGCCAAACTGGAGGTAGGTGCTGGCCAGCGGACGTGGTGGTATTCCGCGTCTGGTGATGGGAACAAGCGTGGCGCGCGTCTGGCTATGTCCGTTGGGGTCCGTTTTGACACCGACTAGGCCTCTGACTATGGACATTGAGCTTCCTTTGTTTCGTAAGCCATGCGTTAGTAACGAACTCGTAACACCGGATTTGCTCCTAGCTTGCATCCGCATGGCTCAAGCTCAAACACGTGCCTAGTCATTGGATAAGAAGTTGCTGTGTTCGGCGTCTCCATCAGCGACGATTACGTCGCTGCCGTCGCTGCCGCCACTGCCGACTGTGTCGCCATCACGAGAGTCGGGCGCGTGCTTTGCGGCAGGAGGGTGACGTGCCGGAGAGCGCGGCGGCGGCCGGCGAGGACGAGTTGGTGGGCGAGATCAGTCAGGCGCTGTCCGGCCTGCTGGAGGCCAACCCGCACACCTGGGCGCCTGTCATCTCGGCCTGGTCGCTCGAACTGCTCGGTACGGCACGTGTGCGGACGCCGCCCCTCCGCCCGCGAAGCGCACCGACGACAGCGGCTGGCCGGCGCTAGGCGGGCCGGTAGACCGCGCTGGCCGCTGGGCCGCTCGGGTAGCAGCAGCTGGTGAATATGCCTGGAGGTGGCAGGTAACCTGGCCGGTGGGCGCAGCTCGAACGTGGCGTGTTGAATATGCCTGGAGGTAGCAGGTAACCTGGCCGGTGGGCTCAGCTCGAACGTGGCGAACTGGATCGCTGGCGTGATTCTGAGGCCTCTTGGACACATCGCCGTCCAGAAGCCCGGTGCTGCGTATCCGAGCCCGGAGTCCCTGTCTGTTGGTATAATCCTGCCATGCCGACGGACGTCTGTTGTTGACGTGCGCCGGTGGCCTGCCGCTCCGGTCCCGACGTGGCGTGGGCCGTCTCGGCTGCTTCCACGTGTGAGCGGCGCCGTCGAGCCCGCACTGACGCCCGACTCGCGGCCAGGTCGCCTGTCGTCCCGGTACTCGGCGCGCGCGCACGTGCCGCACTCGGCCGGCCTGAACGACCTGGTGCAGCTGTGGCTGTGCTGCCCGGCCACGCGCGCGCTCATCCACGTGACCGTGCTGTGCGTGCGTCACGACACGGACGTCTGCATCAAGCCGCTGCTCGGTCAGTCCCGGCCTGCGCCGCGCCGTCGGCGGGGATGTGCCCCCCCCCCCCCACACACACACACTCCACACAGACCCCCCCTCCCCCCACTCTACACATGTCCTCCTCCCCAGGGGACACGTGTGCGGCTGGTGGCTAGAAACGTACTCTTGAGAAGTTGCGTGGCCGCCTGAGGGCGCCTGTGTGTTTAATAAAGTGTTGTTAAATATGTATTGTGGGTTAAGTTGAGGGTTGACTAAGTTACCTTGCAGACGGTCGTGGTTTGTTCAGCAGTGATGTTCGTCAGCCATTTGATGCCTCTCCGTCATGGTGTTTACAATATCACAGCCAGATTTCATGGGTCATACCCAAAGCAAAACCTGGGCCGCGTGTTCAGTGTGATGAGCGCGGCTGGTGTGTTCGACTGAGTCTGGTCATGTGTGCGTACTTGCGTACTGGTCATGTGTGCGTACACTCGATGCCGCCTCCACCCCCCCCCCCTCCCCCCCTTCCCCGCGGCCTGAACAGGCGACTGACCGCGCCGCGTCCGCCGCAGACACGTCGGCAGCGTACACGCCGCACTTCGACTGGGTGGTGGCGCACATTGGCTCTTGCTTCCCCAGCACCATCATCGAGCGCGTGCTGAGCGTGGGACTGCGCGAGTTCTGCGCCCAGCAGGCGGCGGCGCCCGGTGAGCAGACGCCGCCCGAGCTGGGCGGCCCCGGCGCCGGCCAGTCTCGCCAGGCTCTGCCGGGGCCTCGGCAGCGGCCGGCGGCGGCGCTGTCGCGGTCAGCGGCCGTGTTGTGCAGCGGGAGACGGCGCCGCGTGAGCAGCCTCGCTCCCGCTGCGCTTCAGCGTAGCGGCGAAGACGTATTGTATTTAGCTTGTGGGTGCTGGGCGTAGCAAAAGCCAGTGTGAAGGCTACAGGACGTGCAGCAGGCGCTGCTTCCATCAGCAGCTGGTGGCAGGGTGACATCACGGGGATCAGCGTGATGTCACTGCGATCTGCGTGACTGTCCTGGTCGTGACCTCGCTGTCCGGGCAGCGGGCCTGGGATGTGAGACACTCTGGCTCACGTCAGCTCTAGCTGAGCTGACCTGCTGCACGCTGCCTCAGGGGGCACTCCGGGAAAGCGGAGCTCGGTCGTGCAGATCCTGGGGCATCTCGCCGCCAGAAACTCGGCTGAAATCTGCGACGCCCTCAAGGCCTTGATCCAGGTAGAAATGCCGGGGACCGCGCGTGTGTAGCACCGCACTCCGCGTTCGCCCGATTGTCGCACCATACCGCGTTCAGAGGCACCGTTAAGTTATCGACTGCCGATGCACACCCTGTGTATGTTGTCAGGCTGCAGTGTTTGCGAATGTAGTTGTTAGCGTCGGCCGCAAAATGCTTCAACAGATCTTTTAACTGTTAGTTGATAAGAATGACGGTAGTAAGATCGCGGCAGCGTTGTGAAAGCCCGTTCCTGTTCGCGCTGGCCATCACTTTGCGTTAGTCCGTGTCGCAGTGTGATGAGCTCTGTGAAGCCGTGTGGGCCCGTGTCGCGATGAGTCTGCCCCGTGGCGCGGCGTCAGCAGTGGCCCAGTGTGGTGTGCCGTCGCCGCCGCCACCGCCGTCGCCGCTGCTGCGCCGTCCGCCGCTGACGCCGCGTCCCCCGCGTCCGGCAGCAGAGCTTGGGCCCGTCGCCGTCGGCCGCGCCGGCTGGCCCGCCGGACGAGGTGCGGCTGGCCACGGTGCCGTTCCTCCTGCAGCTGGCCGGGCTGTCGCCGCTGCTGCTGGACACGCTCTCCACGGAGATCCTCCGCACGGGTGAGGCCCGCCGCCGTGTCGGTGAACGGCACCCTCGCGGCTGTCGCCTTGGTTACGGGATGTCCTTCGGCTCACTAACTTCGGTCGGCTCTCTGTGGGAGCATTGCCTCCTTCCTGGGGGTGCTCATGTTATATGTCGTATCATCCCATCTTATATGTCCATTATGTTATAGCTTTCTTGGCGTAGATCTGATCAAACATCCAGCGACGAGCGTCTTGATCGTTTCCCGCCCGCGACGTCACCGTCGGCGGCCGGTGACGCGGCATCGTGACGGGTGACGTAACGGTGACGTGACGGCCTGCCTGCCGCAGTGACGGTGGCGCAGCTGGCCGCGGTCGCCGCCCAGGTGCCCGGCTGGATCCCGCGCTACTTCGCCACCGCCGAGGCACTGCTCTCGCTCACCGTCCACCTGGTGCTGCGCTGCGAGCGAGGCGCGCTCGCCGCGCTCCAGCTGCTGCTGCGCGCCGCCGATCCGGACTCGACGCACGGCGACGACGTGCGCCGCGCCGCCGAACACCTGCTTGGTGAGTCTGACCGACGCGACCCTGCCTCAGAGCAGGCATCCACCAAACTGGAGGGATCGCATACCTGCGATGTGTGAGGTTGCAGGGACATTGAGGTGCCGTGGAGGCAGAGATGTGACTTATGATGACTTGGGGCACCCATTTCTTGTTTGTAGATCGTTGTTGCAACTTGTAACCAACCTGCGCCGTGGAAGCCCTGCCCGTCCACCTTAGTATGCTTTAGGCAAATCTGTGGTCGGGGCTTTGTTAGTCTGCGTGTTTGCTCTCACCCGTACCATGTTTAAAACTTGTGCTGTCGTGCGTGTCTGCTGTCTCGCACGGCGGTGCGTAACGGCGGTAGTGACGATGTCCGTGCTGTGGTGTGGGGCCGACAGTGCGTGACAGCGTTGCTGACAGTGTCCATGCAGTGGTGTGGGGCCGACAGTGCGTGACAGCGGTACTGACGGTGTCCATACAGTGGTGTAGGGCCGACAGTGCGCCGCCTCCTACACTCACTGTCTGCCCCCGCTGTGTGCGTGCGTGCCGACAGAGCGGGTGCTCTCGGAGCTGCAGCGGCTGGTGCTCGGCTGTCAGCCGGGCTCGGCGCCGGACGTGCCGCTGCTGGTCGCCCTGCCGGACGCGCTGCCCCAGCTGGCCGCCCACCTGGGCGCCGACGACCAGCGCGCGCGCCGCTGCGTCCAGTTGCTGGCCACGGCGGCCACGAGTCGCGGCGCGTCGGCGGCGGCGCACACACTGGGCCGCCTGCTGGAGCGGCCCCAGCTGCGGCTGGCCACCCTGCTGCGCCTGCTGCGTGCGCTCGAGAGCAACTTCGCGTCGGTGCTGGAGGAGGCGATCCGGCACGCGTCCGCCGAGAGCGCGGCGCCCGAGCAGGTGCTGCGCTCGGTGGTGCGGCTGCTGCGCTGGGAGCGACGCCGGCCGCCGGCCGCCGCCGCCGGCCTGCAGACGCCGCTGTCGCAAGCCGTCGCCGCCTGCGCGCCGCTGCTGGCCGAGCGGATGACCGAGCTGCGCACCGCCGACGCCGCCGTCGAGGCGCTGGCGCTGCTGGAGCTGCCCGATTCGCTGGCCGGCAGCCGGCAGCTGGCGCTGGCCGACAGCGTGGTCGGCTATCTCTTTTACTGCATGCGTCGCGGCGACCGGCCGGCGGTGATGCTGCGACGCGCGCGGCTGGCGCAGCAGCTGCTGGCGCGGCTGGCGGCGCAGCCCGTCTGCCTGCCGGCCGTGCTGCGTGCGTTGCTGCACGCGGCGCTGCAGCCGCACCAGGCGTCGTACTTGGGGGCGGCGGGCGGCCGGCCGGCGCCTGGGCCAGCCGCCCGCCCCCTGCTGCAGGAGAACCGGCGTCTCTCGCGGCTGGTGACCGTGCCGCAGGCGCACACCACGGTCTTCCACGCGGGTGTGATCGGCGCCGGGCGCCGGCCCGGGCCGGCTGCCGCCCTGCTGCCGCCGGCCGCCGCCCGGCTCAACTGCGAGCTGCTGGTGGAGACGGTGGCGCGCTGTGTGGCGGCGGCGCGCGCGCCCGAGGACGGCGCGCGCACGCTCGCGCTGCTGCTTGTGGAGTTCATCTCCCCTGACGTCATGTTCAACGGCCTTCCCTGGCCAGATGAGGAGTTTATGAAGGTGGGCGAGCCTCGGTCCCTGTGTGTGTCATTGGGGCTTTACGACGCACTCAGCTGCTGAGGCTATCTGGCGTTGCCTACCTCTCACTCTGGCAGGAAGGGCGGGAACCGCGGGGTGCCAAACCCCATACCTCTGGTTTCCCAGACGCGCAGTGGTTAACGCAGACGAGTGAACCACTACACCACCGGCGCCCCGAGCCGCGGGCCCGGGCCACATATCAGCATCACTGGCGTGGCAGTCGGTAGCAGGGCTGCCAGCAGCAGCACGTTACCGCCGGTCATCCCATACTCTCCTCGGCGCGCCATTGCTGGCTTGGGTTGTGGGTGGTGAAACCGTGTTTGAAGTCGATGGAGGCAGTCCCTGGGCATCCGCCTTGAGTTATATGTCCGAGCATGAATTGCATTGTCTTAACGATGGCTTACCGCCCCGTGTCGTCTCCATCCCTGTTCGTCACCATGCCCCTACCTTCCTCTGAGCGGTGAACGCGAAACCCACTCGTTCCCCACATACTGCGGCGCGTAGTGTAGCCTGGCCTTTTGCATGTGGCTCCGACTGGCGGCGCGGGAGTCGAGTTCATCCCCCTTGATTATGAGCCGCGTCCCGCACGTGTTCCAACGGCCGGCCGTCCGCCGCGGGCGGCACATCTGACGAGTGGATGGGTCGCGCGCCAGGTGACCATGGAGCGGGACCTGGAGATGCGCCGCTTCTTCGATCACCACCCGGTCAGCTGGTGCCTGCTGGAGCTGGTGGCGCGCCGGCCGCCCGCCATCTGCTACTGCTCCGTGCTGCTGCGCGCGCTTGCCGCCACGCTCATCCAACATTGGTCCTCCACTACGGTTAGTCACGTAAACGGGGGTCTCCTGCAAAGTAAGCCTGCATTTCTGGCGATATGGTCAAGCTGCAAGCTATCACCAGCATGCTCACATTGTCGTCCTAGCGGGCAGATTAATTTGTCGTTGGATGACTTCTGCTCGCCCTGTCAGCCACTTCGTTCATAGTTACTGAAACCGCTACAAGTAATGCAAAATGTTCGTACAACACGTTTGCGCCATTCGTCCGCACCAGTCCCAGTCGACACGGACATCTTCACTTGTAAACGCGTGCTGCGACGTCACTAACGTGTGCAGTGACGTCACGACGGTGTGCGCGTGACGTCACGAACGTGTGCGTGTGGCGTTACGAACGTGTGCGTATGACGTCACGACTGTGTGCATGTGACGTCACGACTGTGTATGTACGTGACCTGATTCTGCGGCGGAGAGGAGCAGCGCGGTGCTGAGACGGCCGTGTGGGCCGGTTGCAGGAGACGCAGGCCTGCAACAGCGCCGGCCCGCTGGACGTGACCGAGCGGCTGCTGCACGTGATGGCGCTGGGCCAGCTGCTGCCTCCGCCGCTCACGCTCATCCCCGAGATGCTGGCCACGCTGACCTCGCACGAGGTGGGTCTGACGTCACACGGGGCCGGCGTAACCCACGGCGAGGGGTGTGACGTCATGGCAGGTGGATATGACGTCCGCGATCGCTCGCCAGTCTTCCCGCACTCGGGACTCATTGGCATTTTAATCGTGTATGGGTGAAGCCTTTTCTGGTTAGGTCCACAGTCTGGTTTATCAGCCTCCGACGGGGTTGACCTGATGATAGAAGCCATAAGCCTCGTGGTAGATATTGAGATGGGACCCGGTCTGATGTGTCTCTCCACCGGCCTCTTCTGACGTGCCCTCCACCAGTCTCCTCTGACGCGCCCTCCACCGGCCTCCTCTGACGCGTACCTCCACCAGTCTCCTCTGACGCGTACCTCCACCGGCCTCCTCTGATGCGTACCTCCACCAGTCTCCTCTGACGCGTGCCTCCACCAGTCTCCTCTGACGCGTACCTCCACCAGTCTCCTCTGACGCGTGCCTCCACCAGTCTCCTCTGACGCGTACCTCCACCAGTCTCCTCTGACGCGTACCTCCACCAGCCTCCTCTGACGCGTACCTCCACCAGTCTCCTCTGACGCGTACCTCCACCTCTGACGCGTACCTCCACCAGTCTCCTCTGACGCGTGCCTCCACCAGTCTCTCTGACGCGTACCTCCACCAGTCTCCTCTGACGCGTACCTCCGCCTCTGACGCGTGCCTCCCCCGGCCTCCTCTGATGCGTACCCCACCAGTCTCCTCTGACGTGTACCTCCACCAGTCTCCTCTGACGCGTGCCTCCACCTCTGACGCGTGCCTCCACCGGCCTCCTCTGACGCGTACTTCCACCAGTCTCCTCTGACGCGTACTGCCACCTCTGACGCGTGCCCTGGGCCGCCGCCAGGTGTACCTGCTGCTGACAGACGTCTGGGCGTACATGCGCGAGACGGTGCCGTCGCCGGCGGCCTTCACGCACGACGCGGCCGGCGTGGCGAGCCGCTCGTTCCCGCCGCTGGAGGCGCGCTTCACGGCCCGCCTGCTGCTCGTGCTGCAGAACAACATGGCCACGCTCGGCCACCTGTTCCCGCAGGTACGGGCCGCCATCGCGCCGGCCGACTGACGGACGCGCGCCCGCTCGCCGACCGGACGCTAGCCACCTGTTCCCGCAGGTACGGGCCGCCATCGCGCCGGCCGACTGACGGGCGCCCGCGCGCCCGCCGACCGGACGCCAGCCGCCGCGCCCGCCCGACTTCGCAGTGTTCTGAGGTGGTGTGCGTGCAGACCCCGGATGGGCAGCGCGGTGTTGGGCGCCCGGTGGCGGCGCCGCACGCCGCTCGCAAACAGCCGATACAAACGGGATTTATTCGCGGACATTCGGAACAAAGCAAGGATTAATTAATAATTTGCGGCGGCGCGGATGTGCTACACATGTTCCGCCGCAGGTAAAATAGACTTCGTCTAGAGGACGCTTGCGTCCACTGTTCATGTCACTGGCCGTATCACTAAAACCAAGCCGATAGGGGAGGTCGCGCATTTTATGCTAATAAATAAAGCTATACACCAGCACGCAACCATCAGCCTGTTGCTGCGCCTCGCCGACCAATCAACGGCGAAGGCGGGCGTCGGAAATAGCTTCCCACAGCGGTCGGGGCGGCGCCCTCATAACGGCACGGACCCCTCGGTAAAACTGACTGGCCTTTGGGTAAACGGAGCGGACAGACGCTGATCACTGGACATTCCTTCGACGGCTCCGGGCACTGTCCGGGTACGGTCGACAAACGAAGCCGGCACGGGGCCCGAGACCGGCTCTACAGCAATGACAAGTTTGTACTGGTTATCCCTACCGAAGACAGACGTTCGTTTCTCGCGCGCCAGCGGCGGGCCCCAGGCGGGGGCCTGCGTGAAGTCTTGCGCTACTGGACCGGACGGCGCGGCCGCCTCCGCTGACTGCACAGCGGGCGTGACGACCGACCGCAGCTGCGGAGACGGACGGAGACAGCGGTTAGATGGCTGTCGGAGAGATGGCGCCACCGCCGCTCGGTCTGGCGGAGGCCGGCGGCTTAGGCGCCATGCTTGGCTGCACCACGTGTGCAGACGCGACTCCAGCTTCCACGCCGGTTCGAGGCGGGTGCCACGCCGCGGACGGCGGCGGTGCCGCCCGGCCCAGCCGCGCGGGCTGCGGATGGGACCGGCGCTGGCGGCCCCAGCTCTGTCAGGCGGGCCAACGGCAGGACCGCAGCCAGCAGCTCACTGCTCGGTAGTGGGTGCCAAGGCCCGACGGGCGGCATATGCAGCCACATGACAGCACCGCATTCGATGATAACATTCAGGGAAGACGTCATCTGACCCACAATGGGATTTCAAAGCTCCCCTCCACCGCCTCTCCAGTGCATTGCCCTTCCCCGCACGGAGGTCCATAGCCAGAGCGGAACGTGAACACGCACCTAGGCCTGCATTGGCTCACAGTTGGCCTGTGCGTGCATGCCACGATGCCGAGGAACTCCAGCGTGTTGAAGGTCATATGGGCGGCGCCGACCGCCCCACTGGCCGCTTCGCTGTTGATGACCTCCAGCCCGTCTGCGGCAGGTCGGCGGCTCAGGTCAACTCCAGCCCGTCTGGCAGAGGTCACGTGACGCGACAGACCGCGTGCCCTCAGCCACAGCTGTCAGTCTTCATGACGACCTGGGTTTGAGGGCCGCGCGCCCGCTGCGTGGCTATGCGGTGCTCAGCGTCCGTCGTTTGCAGGGGAACAAGCCACGTACCCTGGCCGTCTAAAACCAGCCTACCTGATGAGGCAGGTCCACCGAAACAGACGTACCAACCGCAAAGTACCATCCACATCCACATCACCCGCAGCCAGAGACGCCACAAACAACACCGGCACGACTCGGCAGCTACTCTAAACACACGCGGCGTCACACGACGGCGGACATACCGGAGTCGCACGACTCGCCGGATGACTCATCAGGGTGGTGCAGCTCGCCCGCTGACTCACCGGAGTCGGGCGACTCGGCCGACTCGGAGAGCTCGGAGGCTGAGTAGCCGGAAGACGAGATGCTGGGTTGGCGCGGCGGCTCGACCGGCCGCCGCCGGTCCAGCAGCTGGCTGGCCAGCCGCCGCTGCTGCCGGCGCAGCTGCCGCTTGCAGCGGTGGTTCATCCGGTCCTTGTCCTCCAGGGACTGCCGGATGCATACACGGCCGTCAGCTGAAGCTCAGCACCGCGGACCGGTGGCCAACCCACACACACCGCGAGACTGCGACGGCGACGGACCGACTGCCAACCGGTGTCAACCGCACAGCGCGGTCACCGCGCCGCCGAGCGAGTTAGCTCCGGCCGCTGAGTGAGGTCGGCGCTCCGATGCGTGGGACCCGGCTCGCCACAGAGTGGGGCCAGCCGGGGGCGACGCCAGCCCAATCCCAGTGTCGTGTTTGTCGCCCACTGTTTGCCCTCCAGATCAACGCCAGCTGGCCGGTACGGTCGGTCGACGGCGCCGGTAGACTACGCTAGAATCTGAATACACATGGTTCTGGTGCAGAGACAGGGGCCCGTACAGAGACAAGGTCCTGGTACAGAAACAAGGGCCTGATACAGAGACAGGGGCCTAGTACAGAGACAGGGGCCTGGCACAGAGACGGGTCTGGTACAGCGACAGGGGCCTGGTACAGAGGCGGGGATTCGCGGACATTGGCCAGGCACAGGGAGGGGCCCGTGAAGAGCCAGGGTCTGGTACAGAGACAGGTGTCCGGTACGGAGACGGGGGTATGGTATAGGGACAAGAGCCTGGTACGGAGACGAGGGACTGGTACAGAGACAGGGACCTGGTACAGAGGCAGGGGCCTGGTACAGAAACAGAAGTCTGGTGCAGAGACGGGTTTGCAAGGAGAAAGAGGTCCGGTACAGCAACAGGGGATATGTAATGAGACATAAGTCTGGTACAGAGAGGAGGTCCGTAAAGCGCCAGACGGCCGGTACAGAGACAATGGTCCAGTACAGAGTAAAGAGACATGGGTCTGGGACAAAGCAGTGATCTGAAAAAAGAGGTCCAGTTCAGAGACACAGCTACAGCTGTGGGTCCGTCAGCGGCAGTGGACCGGCCCAGAGGCGGCCATCCCAGCCACTGCCCTGCGGCGGCGGGCCCCTCGCCGAGCCCGGCGTCGGGCGAGGCTGAGCGGGCGGCGGCGCCGACGTACCCGGATGTAGTCCCTGGCGCGCGTGAGCAGGCCAAGCGTGGTGTGGCGGCTGGCGTCGGGGCCGGGCGGTACCTGGTCCCGCAGCCGCTCCAGGCACCGCCGCAGGTGCGCTCGCCTGCCGGAGAGCACAGAGACCGGCCGACCTCAGGAGCCGGTGCCGGTGCGCGGGGACGCGCGCGCAAGCGACCGCCGGGGCGACGACGGCCCGCCGGGGCTCGCCGACGTGTGCCAGCTGTGTGCGGTTTGACACGGCATGGTGGGACTGCGCGGCAAAGTCACGCTGCCGATTCGATTAAGTCTTAACGTGACTGGGATCACATTACGCGGTACGACGCAAACATTCCACGCAAAACGCAAACGGGACCAACCATGAGCACGCACAAAAACACCGGTCATCCCACGCATACGGCTTCCCTGGCAAAGCAGGTACTTTCGCTCGTGCACGGTACCGAGTCGGAAGACCGCACAGACCACACAAACCAGTTTGGAGCAGCTGATTGATTAACTCGCCTTTAAACCCTACGTTAAACCAACGGTTGAAAGCTGTCACTGGCGCGGCAAAGCAATCAGCTCCTTATTCAAATCTCACAACACGCCACCATAGCCGCGACCACATGAATGACACAAAAACCGCCTCCACGCCAAATCGCCGCTCACAAATTCCAGCTCTCGCCGACGCCGTTCGCGCACCAGAGCCCCGAGCCCGACGAAATCCGCGAGATGCCCCTCGGGTGGGAAGGGGGGGGGGGGTCAGCCGCGCGGCGCTGGTGTCGGCCCAGGCTGCCGGGGTCGGACCGCCCCCGTGCAGAGCGCCCGCTCCGCGAGCAGCAACTCATCGCAGCCCGCAGAGTGGCCGCCGCAATCCTATTATTACGATCAGCCAATGGAAAGCGCCGCCCGCCGTGATGGATCGCGCGTCCAGTAACTAATAGCGCTTGAGCGGTGATGGATGGGCAGAGGCGGCGGCCGGGTGGGGCGCCGGGCCGGCGCTGGGGAGGCCACCGCAGGGCTGCTGCGGGCGCCGCCACTGCTGCCGCCGCCGGACCGGGGTCGGCGCGGCGCGGCGGCCTCTGCAGTCCGCTCGCGTTGGACACTGGGCGGCCCGACGCTCCGCGGGCCTGTCTGGCTAAAAACTCCGCACGCGTCACTACACGCCCCGGCAGAACCGCGCTGCCTCGGCGGTGGGTCCAAGGTACACGTAACCAGCTCTACTTACCACGAACCCCGCCCCCAGAGGTCATGCATGCAACCCGTTCGATCAGCAAGGGCACGCGGATCAAATAAGCACTGGCCAGACGCAGCGATGCAACGGACACGGCGTGGTATGGCCATGGCACCGCTGCCGGGCCGGCACCAGGCCGGCGCGGGCCCGGTCGGAGTCGGCACGTCCCGGCCGAGCCGGCCGTCGGTGCTGTCCCCGGGGTCAGGACATGACCGGGTCACAGCGAGCCTCGCCGTCCGCTCATGACCAACGCGAAGCTCGTGCTGACTGCTTCCCCCCTTCTCCGCGGCTCGGCGCGGCATCCGTCGACGAACGACCGAACACGTCGGCGCCGCCGGCAACCGACGCCAACTCCCGCCGACGACCTCGTTTTTTGCTGCAGACCGTGTGCGTCACACTATATGGGCAGGTGGTTATTTTCGCTGGACCGTGGCGGGAACGAACCGTTTTTAGTGCTGCTTCGAGCTCTGGGTCGGCAGAGGGCAAAAACAAAGCCATGAAAAACGAAAACGGTTGGCACTAGATTCGTCCTCTGCCCGGCGGCTTTCCATCACTCCACCGACACCTGGCAACGCCGAACACGAAATAGACCGGGCGCTAATTACCAACACTATGTCCCAGCATAGCAACTCGCAGCGAACGCGTCACCGATCAGTGCGCGCTCCGCGCCGGCGCGGTCGAAGGGCGGTGCACTCTTCGCCGCTTCGACCACCCTCGTCAGGTGATTCATGTCCCGCCCGGCCGCCTTTGTCTACGGCCAGCCGCCGTTTGATGATCCTCGACCGGGTTGT